AAGGTGAGTTTCTCAAGGATTGTTTCTCCAATACTAGGATTTCAGAGCATTCTCCAAATTTCAAGTGTTGGAAAATTAGTTCCCAAAGTTATATGCCAATGGTGTGAGAGGAGAGACCTTTGTTAGGTGATTGAATCTTGAGGGCTCTGCTGTGATGAATGAATTAATCTATTCATGGATTAATGGACTATCAAAGAAATAGCTTTGTTAAAGTGAACTTTTTCTGGCTCACTTGCTTTCTCTCCCTACATGATGCCTCTCCCCACCAGCAGCAAGAAGGCCTCACTAGATTTCAGCACCTTGATACTGAAGTTCCCAGCTTCAAGAACCCTCAGCTAAATAAACCTCTATTCTTTATTTAATCTGGGGTATTTAGTTATGACAACAGAAAATGGTCTAAGACACCCACCTTTTCCCCAACCCCAGGAAAGTAATCAGGGATATGGGCCTGAGAAAAATGGTATAAAAATTTGTCCAAAGTACACAAAGCAGTTATTGCTGAGTCTAAGCCCCTCCCCTCCCCTTTCTTTTTTTGCCTCCATTGCCCACCACGAAGTTACATCTCCAGTCCTTTTTACTTTTTGAGACAGGGTTTGGCTAGGTTGCCCAGACTGGCCTCGAACTCAGGATCCACCTTCCTTAACCTTCCCCAACCCTGCCCCCCAGCGTTTGGGATTACAAGCATGTGACATTGCATCTGGCTTCAGGCTCATTTCTTACCAGATTTTCCCTGGGTTCACTTTCCTTAAATATCGAATTTCTACTGTTGTAGGGACAAATGAGGCAAGGCACCGAAGATAGCAGGAAACAGTTTTATTTGGCTGCAGCCAGGTTCTGAGGGCACAGCTTTTGCTGTAATCAATTAATCCCCTGAACCCCGAGTTCAGGGAGTTTCAGAGTTTTATACCCAGCATGTAAGGGGAGGGGCTCAGAAGTTCACATAAAAGCAGCTTTTTCTTTCACTGTTTTGGGCATGTTAACTCTTCAAGAACAACCCCTGAGAAGGGAGAGCTTCTTCTCCCCTTTTTTTCCTCCCCCTGCCAGCTGTTACCATGGAGCCCAATTGTAACTTATCTTAAAAATGTAGTCATTTCTGTGAAGCCCAGCTCAAGGCCAGAGGCTTTGTTTGCACATTTCTTCAAAGTATTATACTGGATATGTTTGTGAAAAACTAGTAAGGGGGTGTCCAGCACCTGCTGATATCTTCTCAGCCAGTGGCCAAGTAAACAGGGCGACACAAAAAATAGGAAGTTTATCTAAATTGGACTCTTTTGCAGAGACTCTTTTGCTCACAGTCCTAAAATCAGCCATGGTGAAGAGGGCTTTTCTGTGGAGAAAGGGGGTGCCACTTCACTACTATTACTCTTTACACTTAAACTCTCAGTAGGTCCCAGCTCTTCTAAATCTAAATTCTAAAGCTGATCCTTCTTAAAACTGAATCTGCCTTACAGCTTATTTTCAAGAAATCTCCTCTTTGGATTACACACTGTGGACCCATTACTTTCCTTTCCACTAACTTTTATTTCTTACACTAATTTCCTCATTGTCAAGCAAACAAAGAGGCTTATTAGTTACCTAGGTTAACACCTGAACATCCTATTATCACTTACCTCCAAATGCTCCTCTTCCCCTTTCTCAATTTTGCCCGCCTTTCTTCTCCCTACACAGTCAATATAACCCAGTTTAATATTTACTTTCTGAGCTTTCCACTTCTTCTCAGCTTCCTCAGCACACTAATATTTAGAATTAAAACACATAGCTAATCTCCACCGGTAAATTCCTATGCCCTAAAACAACAGAGCAGCACGCGAATATTTAATTTTCCTGATTGCCTGGTGGATTTTAATGTGTTAAATTTAAAATCGATGCCGTGACTTTCAAGTATTTATGAATTGCTTGCTGTGTGTTTTGTGGTCCACTTGGAAAGCAAAAGCAACAGAAAATAAAAATTCAAGGTGATATTTAAAAAAAAAAAAGGAAAATAAATACATGACAAGGTAGGAGGAACTACCAAATAATCACACAGAGCCAACAATCTCCGTAAGGTGTTTAACACCTAACAACCTCGAGGGGGTTTGGCCCCGAAAGCGATCTGATGTTCCCAATTGTCCCTTACTTCACTCAAAAGCGGCCCAACCTCTAACCTGTCTAAACGCAGCAAGCCCGAGAAAACGCCCACCTACTCCTGTCTCCACGCCCCACCCCGTTCAAGAACGCCGGCCTTTGATTGGTCCTGACGCATCCTAAAGCTGCCCAATCACGCGCGAGCAGTTGCCAGAGCGTCCCTTTACGTGCAGGGGGAACATGGCGGATCGGCTCACGCAGCTGCAAGACGCTGTGAACTCGGTAAGGAATTTCGTTGGATTAGTCTCTGGCTTTCTTTTTTGAGGTAAAGCGACGGAGGAAAGGGGCCCGAGAGAGAAAACTCGGAAGT